TCGCATGACAACCATTATCCCCATATTAAATTTCAGTACTTTCCTTTGCACTTGCCGCACCATCTTTCGCCACCAAGGGGTACACCACAGCCACGTGCCACAATTTAGGATAAATAGTGTATAACTACAAGGATCTCTGTTGTATAGTCAAACCACTCGTTCTTATTCCCACCTAACCTAGCAATACCCTTTGCACTTCCCTTTTAGAATTTGCTTCTCTAGCCCCTGCGCTGCCTCTCTGTTAAATACTGCACAAATTTTTATCTGCTCTATACCTGCCATCATTACTTTTTTTCCCAGTTCCCATCACCCATGGGACCCAACCTCCAGTAATTCGACTTTATCACTATTAACACTCATTCCCCTGTTGCTCCACTAAATTTTCAACAATTCTGCTTACATTCTTTAACCCTCCTCTCCCCCCACTAAGGACCGTCGTGTCATCCAACATAAACCAACTATACCCGTAGCACCCCCTATTCTTACCCCCCCTCACTTACTCCTACATTTTATCAACCTATATAATGGGTCTTGGCAGACATGCAAATAGGATCTGAGACATGGGGCATCCCTGCCTCAGTGCACCCTACCCATACTAACCATCTTCCCCAACCTTCCATTTATTGCACTTGTATTTCTGCACCTTCTACATAAAGTTTCCGAGCCCACTGCACAATTTCCTCACCGAAACCCATCCTCCTCATAATCACCATAATGTCTCCTCTCTCAACACAAATCATAAGGCCGCCTTCCAATCCAAAGCAAGAACACCTCGCCGTTCATCCTACGTCCTTATATAAACCCTTTAATCCTCCCACCCATGCCGCCCTGGCACACCCCATCTGTCTCCATCTATTACCTTTCAATTACTTTACGAAATCTATTACTAAAAACCTTGGAGCAAACAATTTATAATCCCGCACATTAATGATATACTCTCCTAATAAATCTAGGATGCTTTCTGTACTTTCCCCCTTTGGAACCATACTACTACACCGCTTTGTGTTTAGACTCATGCTTCTTATCCTTCATACATTCACCAAACTGCACAAGGAATTCATTCATATACATCCCAGTTGCTCAAATAAAATTCATTTGGGATCCATCTATCCCAGGTGCTTATCCCGGACACTCATCCCTTTTAAAGCCGGGGCCACACTTCTATTCATCTACTAGGCCCTTCTATCATCGCTCTATCTGCTGACTCTAGGTTTCTCTGTATCCCCTTTCTCTAAAATCTTCATATCTGCTATCTTCCTGTTTCCCCCTCTCATATATTCTCAACCACTTATCAGCATAGACACTCATACTTTTCCGTAGTTACAAACCTCTGTCCCATCGTTTATACCCTCCCACATCCGTATGTACGTCCAAACTTCATCAAGTCATTGTCCTCTGTCGTGTAGTTAATCGCCGCAATTACACAGGCGGATGGCTTATTCCCCATAAAACTTCTTCCAATCCACCTCTCAATCTCTCTACCATCAAATCTTGCATTCTGCATTTCCTAATTGCGCTTTGATGCCCTCAATCTCTTTGTACTGGATAAACCCCATAAAACCTTCATAGCACTGTTTCAATGCCCTTCCAAATATCTCTCGTAAGCCTTATTTCACATAGACTTACATCCTTTCACTTTCCCGTATAAAAATTTTTGATCCTGGTTTAGCATATTCTCCCACCATCGTAGTTTATCACCTCCCTTTCTCCCCCTTGGTCCCTCCTTTCTCACCACTCAACAAAACTAACACCGTCCTCTAGCTCATCTAACAATCTCACATTAAGTTTCCAATTATTCGTGTAAACATTTGGTTGAACCTCCCCATCCCAACATCCACGACCACTCCTCTATGATCTGAAAACACAACGTTTATAGTTTCCGTGTTAGCAACACTGTAACCCGGGAGAAGCATAAATACGATCTTGTCGTGCCGCTTCCTCCATCACATAAGTATGCTCCCACGTTCCACCCCCCCCCTTCACTACATCCCTAAAGCCTGCTCCCCTATAAAGCATCCAGTAGGACCCCCAAAACACACCTGCCACCCCTCGCTCCACATTGTTTTTCTAGTAATCACACTATTACAAATCCCCTCCAAATTATGTACATAACAGGAAACCCCGCATAGATTAATTAGTGTGTCCCTTACAATATCCTCTTTCTTTAAATCACGTCTATTACTGTCCGCCGGCATGTATACACTCACAAAGCACACAGTACCCCACCATGGTCCCATCCACCCTCGCTAACTCTCACATTCTCCCACTTCTTCCCTTTGTAACATATTGGAATGGACTGTTCAGCTATATTAAGACAGCAGCACCTCCTTCTTAAGCTTTCAGTATACCCAGCATAAAACTTTATAATCCATCTACCAACAAATCCTTCCATACCTAAATTATGCTCCTTGTAAAAATATTACTTGTATTCCAAGTCTCTTTAAAAAATCACTAAAGATCTTACGCTTTACATCAGCCCCTTAGGCCAATTAACATTTAATGTTAGACACTAAAAATGCCTATCGGGGGCTTACCAATCGACCGATATCCTTGCGTTTCCTTACGTTTTGGCACAAACATTCTTTTCACAGTGTCCTTTCTTTGCATCACCTTTCCTCTGCCCCTTCCACCTCCCTGTTAATTTTTTTGGCCATCCCCCACTGATAGTTTCTTACCAGATCGTTGCAGCTGGTTACGGTGAGGACATCTCTCATCAGAAGCCCCTGCCTCTCTTCTTACGTGCATGCCGCTACTATGTGCATTCTTGATTTCAATTCCACATTGTGGACTTCAACCACACCCTCACTAGTCTCTTTGATTGCATTTCCCAATCACCCACATTACCCACTCTTGTATTCCACCCTCACCATAAGTTTCCCATCCGTTTACATGCTTGTGTCCCGTCCTCATTCTGTTATCAAGAATTCTGTTATAACAGTGTCTATTGTAGCCGTAACTTGATACCCAATTCCACTGTCTCACCTCATCCTCCATAGAATATTCTCAATAACCTGAGGAGACCTCCGTAATGTTGCACATTCTTCGGATTATCCTCCACGATTTCACTCCATGTTCTATGATCTTTGTGAAGTGCTCCCCGGTAGACTAAGGTTTGGTCACCTCCTCTCCTTCTCCCTCCTTTCCCCTTCTCCTGTTTCTAAGAGTGCCGATCGACGAGGACACATTACTGCCATATGATCAAAGGCTACACACGTCTACAGGTTCGTCTTGCCCCGCCATACTGTTACATATACCTGAGTTCTAAAGTCACTCATTGTCACATATGATGGTATAGATTTGCGCCAAAGAAATTTTGAGGTAAGGAGCCCTCACGCAGTCCAGCATACATACCATCAGACCACCTTCCAACTGATGCCTGATGTATAACACCATTACTCATTGAATGTTGCTTTTATATCTTCTTCATCCAGCTTTCAAATGGGACATTCCGTAACTTTACCAAAGTTTAAATACTTGGATTAGTCCCTCATTCCGTACTTCTAAACCAGGAGTAAATATCTTTTCCATGCACACGCTTGGTATTTTTCTCCACCCCATCTCGTCATATGTCGAGCCGTCACGAATTTCCAAAGATCCTTGTAGTTCAGTTTAAGGCAATACCGTACAGATCGTCGTTGTTGAATGCAGTAGGTATCCCGTAGTATGGCAGGGCAGCATAAAAAAAAACAAAACAGAAGCATTGGCTGATAAACCGTTCCTTTCAACACCTCAATACACACAGTGTTGATTCTCCGCCTGATAGCCTGGGCCATTTTGTGAAAATCACTCAGTGCTACCAACAGGTGCTAGCTCAACCGCCAATGTCCGTCCTCCACCAAGGTTGAGTGACGAATGCAGGAGCAAGGCGTAGCACAACCTCACGGCCCTAGAGCGATGAGGTCAATTGGAATGTGATCTAAGCGACTTTGACTGTGGAATGATTGTTGGTGCCAGACAGAAGAAGTGGTTTGAGTATTTCAGAAACTGCTAATCTTCAGGAATATTCCCGCACAACAATCTCTAGAGTTTACAGAGAATGGTGTGAAAAACATAAAACATTAAGTGAGTGGAAGTTCTGTGGACGAGAAACTCGCCTTGTTAATGAGAAAGGTCAGAGGAGAATGGCCAGACTGGTTCAAGCTGACAGTTGATGATTGAAAAAACGCCGCCTGGATTGACGAATTGCTATTTCTGCTGCAACATGCAGATGGTAGGGTCAGAATTTAACGTAAAACTATGGGATCTGGTGGAACGGGAGATTCGCACCATGAATGTGCAGCCGATATATCTGCAGTAACTCTGTGACGCTATCATGTTAACAAGGACCAGGATCTCTAAGGAATGTTTTCAGTACCTTGTTGAATCCATGACACGAAGAATTCAGGCTGTTCTGGGGACAAAGGGGGAGTGGCACTACCCAGGACTAGAAGGATGTAGGATGTACCTAATGAAATGGTCAAGGTCCCAGGACCGAAACGTTTTCTAATAAATATGTTATAGTGTTTGCTTACGTGTCTTTCTAACCAACTTTGTCGGTATTTATTTCCAGGTTTGTACCATATATATATATATACTATTCTATATATATATATATATATATGTATATATATATATATATATATATATATATTATATATATATATATTATATAGTTTAGAAAGACACGTAAGCAAACACTATAACATATTTTATTAGAAAAACGTTTCGGTCCTGGGACCTTGATCAGAAGTGATCAAGTTCCCATGGACCGGAAACGTTTTCTAATAAAATATGTTATAGTGTTTGCTTACGTGTCTTTCTAAACCAACTTGTCCGGTATTTTAGTTACCAAGGTTTGTACCATATATATTTATATATATATATATATAAATATTATACTATATATATATATAGATATTTTTATATATATATATATATAGATATATATATTTATAGATATAGATATATATTTTGTTGCAAACCCCTGAATGGGTTTTGCAATGTATATTATGTATATATATTACATGTATATTACCTTTTCATAAATTTTATATTGCTTATATTTGCGGTAATAGCTAAATCGTAAATATATTGCTTTATATTATTATTTGACTTAGTTTCCTTTTGTTAGGTAGGATGTAACACATATGTGCTCAAAGTTCAAGTCATGATTGTCTAACTACTGTAATTATCGCTTGTGGCTCGTTACTCTGCCGGCTTCTGGTTGTTGCTGGGCAGCAACCGTCCACGGAGCTATCACGTGATAGAGGAGGGGGGTGATCACACCTCGCCTGAAGTATTCGGTCTGGTCTAGACTCGCTTGGTGGTTGGACGTATTCTTGACAAGACGTGCCTAAATCTCCCTTATTGGAAGATCGTCTCTTGTCTCATTATTGTCGTATTTTCTGGAGACTCTGTTAACAGAACATTGTATAGACTTAGTGATTTCCGACGTTGTACTGAGGTTGTGTGTCGCCTAGACACTCTAAACAACTCAGATCCTGAGCTGTAGCTTCTGACCTAACTTGTAATGGTATCTGTGTAGTATCACAGTCGGGGGATTTTTCTTATGCTGAACCTTAGATTCTGTGTATGGGGTTTGTGTCTTTTGTGGAGGATTCGACAGATGGTCCCTACTTAGTGTGTTATATTATCTCCTTGGTTCCTGATTCTGTGTCGCAGTTGCTTGTTAATATTGCTATTGGGTTTTGCATTCTTTTTGTTGTTCAGCAGACTGTTCTGATTGCCAGTGGTCAAGAGTTAGTTTATTTGGGACTTTGTCAGTCACTTGTTTAAGTCTTAGTAGGAGTCTTGAGAACTAGCGAATACTTAGTGCACCTTACATACATACACCAAACTTACTTGTACATATTTGTAATATCTTATTAAATGTTAATGTACCAGACGCGTACTTAAGAATTTTAAATGTGATATGTGCTTTCAGCACAATAATACTGTACACAGAGAATTGATTATATTTTGTTTACTGTGATTAATTTAATTTAATTTGTTTTACGCCTAGAAATTTAAAAAATTTTTTAAAATTTTTAATTTCTCTATTTTGTACCCCTACCGTTGAAAATCCTGAAGATTTTAAATTAAAACCTGATTCAAATGGATAATTGGACAAGGATATGATAATTTTACAAAAACCCGAAAACAGGTGGATGCTAAAAGGGCAGTCCTTTCTGTATTCACTGGAGATTCAAAGCTTTTAGAATCGCTTTTTTTTGTAACAATATATATTTTTATATAATATATATATAATATATTTTTATATAATTTTTATATATAAAATTTTTATATTATTTATATAAATATATAAAAGGGGAATTCGCAAGAGCAGGCGAAATTTTATACCCCCCCCAAAAACACTGATTCTGGCTGAAAGCCCCAACCCCCTTCCCTTCGGGTCCCAGTCTTTACCAATCTCCCCTCCTACCTTTCCCCCCTCCTTCCCCCCAAATCATTTTTTTGGTTTTTTTTCCATCTCTTCTTCCTTCTTATTTTCTCTAGAAAGGCTGATGCTGAAACACACTCCCAACATTCCTGTGGAATTTAAGCATTATTTTTTAAAAGTTTAAAATTTTTTTAAGAATTAAACTATCTTTTATTCCTTTTAATTTTCCCTGGCAAGTTAAAACCCTTTAAATAATGATGTCGATTTTCGGGAAAATGAAGGGCCTTTGGAAATAGGACTCGAAGTAAGGTGCTTTTGCCTTTGTTGTTTCCCTTTCCCCGTCCTCAAATTTACTGTGTTAACATTGTAGTGGGTTTGTGCAACACGCTCTTAGGGGACCTTGCAAACCCTCTCTTAGCTGGTCGCCCCAAAATGTCCACAAACAAGGTTTTGCAAAAGATCAAAATCCTTAGGGGTTAATGGAAGTTGGGGGAAAACCAGAAAAAATGAATAATGCGTGAGCAGTGGGACTTCTTTAAAAGGGTTTATAGCAAACCTTTGTCATTCCCGGCGCCTTCTGGGACCACTTGGTGGGTAGGCGCGTTGTATCGCGAAAGGTTGAAAAAAAACATCCTCTACTTCCGTAGGTGCTTTCCATTGGTACTGGTATCCCTTTGGGAGTATCGATCTGCCCTCTGTCGCTGTCCCCTTTTATTTTTCTGCAAATTTTGATAAGCTTTTATCCTGAGAATTTCGTTTTTGTTTGCTCTCTTTGGACCAATTGACTTACGAAATTGTGTGAAACGTTGCAGAAAATTGAATTATTAAATTTTGCAACTTTTATAGTGTCACATATAATTTTAAAAAATTTTTAATAGAGTACAAAAAAATTTTTCACGATTAAATGATGAATTTTTTTTATTAACTCACCCGTAGCAGTGGGATTACACATCCTTTCGCCTTTTGTCGGGACAAACTTTGGATGAAGAAGACCTTTTGGGTTTATAAAAAAACCAACCCAAATTTTTGTAATGGGTTGTATAAGACCCCCAAAAAGTCGTGGTTTTATCATTTTCCCTTTATTTTTTTA